CACATACTAATTTCAAATCGATTCGGACCATAATCACATATCTCGTTCGATATCTTGGAACCGTCATCTTGAATTCGTTAAGTTTGACAAAAGATTCATAATCTCTGACCCCGAAAACTTCCTTATAGCAAGTCAAATCGGGCCCTAATCACAAATCTCGTCCGCATCTTGAATTTATCAATTTTGATAAAAGATTCATAATTTTCAAATAATCTGCAATTTTCGTGCAAACTTTGAGATCAACACGAAAACGAACATGTTTTTATCTAAAATGTAATTTGGAAGAACGAACACGTCGGCGAATAAAGTTCGGCCCTGGAATGCCCCGGCCTGGTCAAGTTAGAATTAGGGAGGAGTTTGTATTTATTTCATCGGGCGAAATCGCACTGCCATCTGGCGGTATACGTTTTCGTAACTAAAGGCTAAAGACACTTAATTTGAGGTTATGGAGTAGTATCTGAGATGCATAAACGTCATATGAGAACAGTTAAAACAAAAGCATTAGCCCGTTCATATATATATGGTGGCCGTCTCTTAACGAACAAATTGAGCAGATGTGTGGTAATTGTACTCGTATTTTTTGCAGTAGAGAACGACAAAATCCTTCTGAGAGTGAATTGGCCGTCCTGGCCAATTCCTTCTGAAGTATGGGAACGCCTTCATGCAGATTTTTTTAGGACCAATTCATGTTGAAACGTATTTGATGGTTATAGATGCGTTAACGAAGTGACCACCTTCGTGTTTTGTTCCATATTGATAAAAAAATATTAAAACTAAAAATGTCATGTCATTTGACTTCTCAACTTTCAGAGGAGTTCTGCTTAGAAAGGTAGGAGTGTAGGTCGGTGTAAAAATGTATTTTCTTCAATGTATATACTCTTTCACTGGCAGGAGTGCTGAAAAAGTTTTCTTTTTAAGAATGTTATTCACGATGTCTTTAGACGGACACTGCAATGTGAAATATTAATATTATTTTTATATCTGCAAAAATGAATTGTGAATGTCATGATCCATGAGTATGATTAAAAAAACGTCTTAGAATGATTGAAGTAAGGATCGATGTATATTATTCAACAAAAAACTTTCAATTTCACAGCATAATTCAAGCAAATGACTCATGAAATGAGTTTTCGTTTCTACATATTCATACTTAAAGATAACGCACCAAACACTTTTAACTTCTTTTCACTTCTGCCCCAGATCACATAAAAAAATGCATTCTCAATAACTGCCAACTTGTTTTATCATCATGAATCAAGAAATAGGTACCAATTGCGCAGGAAGCCGATTCCGCAATGAGCTCTATTTTATTCCTTCCGAGGATTAGTCTCACGGAATTATTGATTCAACGTGCTCGAATATGAATTTGATGGGTATTCAGACACTACCTACTATAGATCTGAAAGGAGAGCGCGATTTTGAACTCGATCAGTTTGATGACCCAAACTATCCAAATGAATGAGTTTTCCCATCTTTCGAGAATCACCCGACCCCGACATAATGGAGGCGTATTTGGACGAGGCATACTAATTCACTTCACTCCCAGAAATGATCATGATAGATGTTTCTCCGAAACCTGACATAATCATTGTTGATGACGATGCATGATGATGATGATTAGCATGGTTGGGCTAGATTAGTTTCCTCGGAGTGTAAATGACTTGGTTGATGTTTACGGAATATTGCGTGGTTTGGGACAGTATATTCAGCCCAACTGGCATTGAGATCGTGTATTGCTTGACGCGAAGTGCCTACCGCTTAAGAATTTTCAGTTGTGGGTGAGAAGCACCCTCCAATTGCTTCACACTAACATATGCGATGACACGTTCAGAGTCTGAAATGTCGAACTTACTTCATTAACTGGTACCATTTCATTGTTGGTTGGAAATATATCTGAACCGGTGTAAGATGAGACTTCCTCCACATTACTTTTTTCTCAACATCCGCCAAAGAACTGACAGAGATAGACTAAATCTAAGTATTAATAAATATGTGTGGTGTTAGGTTGATTGAAAGGGAAGC